AGGTCAGTTCGGCGGTGTGCCTCTTAAAGACGCCGTCGTCTGTAAATAGCATTTTTTACCTGCGTTATAAAAAAAGGGTGTTGTGGATAAATAGTTGTAGGGTGCACAATTTAGATGGAAAAAAAAGACGAACTGATAGATATAAATACGAAGTAGTCATATACATAATTACACATACATAAAAAGTACTTACATATAAATAAACAAACATACTAAATAAATACATAATAATGACGACTAACGTTTAAGCTAGACTGCTTGTTCCTGTAAAAAGCTTCGTAGCTTGGTTTTGAAGCTAATTTTGTTGCTGGACATTCTAATATCAAGAGGGAGTTCGTTCCACAGAAAAAAGTATGGTTTTGACGAAGAAGGACGAGTGAATTGTATCAGAGCGATGAGATGCAATCTTTTCGTCCGTTGTTAGTCAGTGGATTGTGATTTCCCTTTTAAAATCGAAACTGTTTCCGGTAAGTAATCTTACGCCTACGCGCAGCAGTAATAAATACATACATAAGTACAATCCCAATCATAAAACGCGAACTCTTAAAGTTGACCTTCGAGTTAACGAGCCTTCTCGGAAAGCCATAAACTGACCGTAGGAATAGGAGCATACATATACTTATTCCCTGTCATAAAATGAATATGAAAGTATTACAGATTTATCGATATCCTACTTAAAGGCTAGGATTTGCGTTCCCTTTTCAAATAAAAAATAAATACAACAAACAGTTTTCTAAAGCGGTCCCCATGCGTCATGCGACGTTCTTCATATTTATTACGCACTAGCTGTGCCTCACGGTGTTACCCGCGGTTTATTAGGGATATTTTCCCACAGTAAAATGTAGCCTATGTTAATCCAGGGTGTCAGCTAACTCCATACCAAATTTTATTAAAATTGCTCCAGCCTTTTAGACGTGTAAAAGTAACAAATATACACACTCACATACTCAAACACTCACAAACTTTCTCCTTTATAATATTAGTACGATGGTGATCTTTACGTGCTGTGTTATACAGCTTGTTAATTCAATGGTTTAGTATGTGGCAACACGCGTGAATGTTTAAAATCGAAAAACGAAATACATAAATTTTTTGTTACCTAATCTAAAACAGGTAAAACCAGTGAGAATATAAAAGATAGGAATATGGTCCTTATCGATACCACAGTATTCTTAGGGATTACTTTGGATTCTAAGCTTCAATGAGACCCTTAAATTGATAAATTGTCAAATAGACTTAGCTCTGCAGCTTAAGCTGTAATGAAGATACGCCAGTAAACGGATGTAGATACCGCCAGGTGTACTTTAGTTATTTCCATAGTGTAATGGCGTACGGAACTTTAGTGTGGGGAAACGCCGCCAACATTTACACTATTTTTGTACTGCAGAAGAGAGCCATTCCATCAATTTATAATCTAAAAGTTAAAGCCTTTACAGATAAGTATAAAGAAATTGGCATTATCAATCAATCAATCAATCAAAATCGTTTATTCAGCACAATACACGGATACAGATAAATTGTTATACTTATAACTTACAAAATGACAATTAGATACAGACATTAATAAATACCACTTAACATATACCATACTGGCGTCGATTCCGGCACGAACCCCCTAACGGAAACTTAAACCTGACAGCGGCGTATCCCTGTCACTACTTAAAGTGAATGAAAAGGACTGACCGATGCCAAATTCAGTCCTAAGTTAATAGAATCATGCCAGAATCGATACCTATACCACTCCGTATCCACGGCTGCGCTGAAAAGGGCCCAGTTCAGCATAATGTCAGTGCACTATACACTGGCGCTGGTTTTCAACTGGGTCCTTTATCTGACAAGTACGGACGGACGCCAAACACTAACGATTTTTTATATGAATAATTATATAATTTAAAAGAAAAAATAAAAAAAGGGGCAAGGCTGTGTAAATCCATTGCCTTTGCACCGAGACTAAAAAATTAATAAAAAATATATATTTAAGGTTAAAATTAGCTTGCTACATAAATAGTGATCTGTGGTCAAAATGCAAGCACAGATTCTTTAAAGAGGTTATCGCTAAAAACAAACACAAAAACAAAGCATATTTGAACAAAGCAATTAAAAAATAGCGTTATAATGTATAGTAAACACCATTCAGATGAAATGCAACTAAATCACACCGTCGGCAGAGGCAAGCGCCACCAGACAAAATAAATTAGGTTTTATTTAGGCACATACAAGACTTTAAAGGTGAAACAATGGAATGCCAGTGAAAAAGAAACATAACAATTATGACTCGCGCATTACAATTTATAAACAAAAATTTATAATTTATAAGAAAAAAATAGTTATTTCTTTCTTAAAAACAAAAAAAAACTAACTTTACCCTTTCAAAAAATCCTTACCTGACCCCATCTCCTACTCAGCGGAGCCCTGGAGTTTTGAAGGATTTGGCAAATGCAACCTTCAAGTTTTTCCCTAAACTAAGGATACCTCTTCATTATATTATTATTATTGATACTCAAGCCGACGCATAAACTATATATTTATGAGTAGAAGTGCGATAATGATTGATTGTAAGCATGAGAGCCATCATAATAATATCATAGGAAAGAGAATGTAAATCAGCCGTCATTCAGTACAATAATTCCATGAAGTTACTTATATATCTATGGGTAATTCACGCAGTCAAATGTACGTTAAACATTCGCTTAACAAAATTATATGGGTCACAAAATAAAAAGGCAAAGAAACTATTTAAACTTGGGCCCGTTACTAGTAATAAATTATGAAATAAAGAAAAACTTTTTAACAAAAAAAATAAAATGCCAAAAAGCCGAAAAGCAAAAAACAATAAACCTTTTTTTATTTAACCTTACTAAGTTCGTAAACTACTTATTATAAATTTAAGTAAGTAAGTATATAATTTTAAGTCGGGAAGAAAACAGGCTTGATGTTGATTGTCAGTGCCTGATTTAGAATTCTGATCGTCCTAGGCTAACTATGAGCATGTGCCCCTCTGCCTGTCCTGTCCAACCATTTTTTTTCACTTACAGGTGCAACTAATTAAATTACAATTATTATAGAAGAGAGTAACGAGTTAAGTAACCTAAGTAAGTAACCTGGGGGGGGGGGGGGGCTTCCAAGAGGGGAAACGGTTTAGAATCGCGATTTTCGGAAAAACTACAAGTTCTATCGATTAAAAATAATGGCAAAATTATAGGCAAACATCTACTTACAACTTTTCTATTTACACTTTTTTCACATGACCAAAAAATATCTGCAATAATCAAAATAAACAACTTTTTGGTTTATAGGGTTCCGTACCTCAAAAGAAAAAAACGGAACCCTTATAGGATCATTTTTTTACGCCCGCCCGTCCGTCTGTCCGTCTGTCAAGACCATTTCTCTCAGGAACGCGTGGAGGTATCAAACTGAAATTCATATCTAATACTCTCATGTCTACTGTCCCTTGGAGCTGTGAAAAAATCAAACCTCTAAGCCAAAGCAATCAAAAGATACAACCGTTTATGCCGCAAATTTTCGAAACTCGCACAGGAATCAAAACCTACAGGGTATACTTCCCGTGAACTTAGAATCTTGAAATTTGGTACGAAGAAACGTCTTATAGTACAGATAAAAGAAAAATTGCGAAAACCGTAAAATTTTTAGTTACATCATAATATAAAAATATTTTTAAATAATTATTAATATATACCTAAGTATAGGTTTGTACGGAACCCTCGATGCGCGAGTCCGACTCGCATTCGACCAGTTTTTTTTTACTATTATCTCCCACAAACAACTTTTCTTCTCATGAAAGTTGGTGAAAACTTACCTTTCATATGTCCCAAGCCCGCTCTATTTTATTCGATTTACAATATTTATTTTGCCAAAATTAAATAAGTAGGTATATTTATTGCGAAAAAATAACCTTATTTTCAGTTGAAAAATCTCCCTTCAAAAAGTTGTATCTCATACAATTTTTGTTTTTTAGGAAGAGTCGTAGTTTTTCCGGGAATCGCGATAGACTCATTTCCCGCCCTTAATAGTACGAGAATCATGAAGACATTTGCATTTTCTGGAAAAGTTTTCCGTATAATGTGTGTTGTTTGTATACCATCAGAAAGAAAAGGTTCCAAAAAGCATATTATACTAATCTGATATGAATTTTCTGAAACGTCATCATCAGACTCCGCATCTATAACTATAATAAAAGTTTGGTAATGTCGACTATATCACCCAGTTGACCGTTTTTATTTAAAATCAAAACAGCGTAGGTATATTAATTAATGTGTAACACATGAAAAAAACAAGCGAGCCTTACAGTAGTCGCGTATGATGTGTAACATTTGAAACCTAACCTCATATTAGTAAAAAAAGAAATAAAACCTGCTACAAAAGGAATAAGCCATTTAACATTAAGTTAAATTTTGATTTGATTAGTAAAATCAAATCAAATAGCGCGCGCTTTCACGTCTTCCTGTTACACACTTCCGTCCCATTTCACGAAATCACTTCCACAAATTGCAGGAAAGCGAGAGGAAAGATATTACAAATCAATAATACCGATAAAGTGTGCTATCATTGGAAAATATTAATATATAATAAAATAACTGTCATTTGAAAAAATACTTAAAAACCTATGTCACGGGTACAACACTATTTAATAAAAGTTGGTGTCATTAATTGCAAACCTGACATTTCCTATGTCATATTTGTCTGAGATTAAAAAACAGACTATATGTACTTATCTTAATAAAATACCTACCTATACTTGAAACGAAACGCTGCTATCAGTTTGACATTTTGTATGTGTGACATTGACAGTCGACACGTCCGAACGAACTTCACCTTGCTGCTATTTTCGACCTCCATTCATCCTTCGACTCTTCAAAATTTAGATTTTAGTACCATTTTCACTCAATTTGAATAAAAGCTACTCGTTAAAGCCTTTCAGTAGGCACTTCAGTGTTTTTTACATAGATTTTAAGTGTAATATTGTGTTATAATCGTTGGAAATGGCGTTAAAATCACCGGTCGTTTTTGGTGTGCTGTCTCGTTTAAGTAGACGTAGTTTCTCATCATCTAAGGCTTTATTCTCGAAGCCAGTGACTGTCCGTGATGCTCTTAACCAGGCCATTGAAGAGGAGATGGAGAGAGACGAAAGAGTTTTTGTTATGGGCGAAGAAGTGGCCCAATATGACGGAGCCTATAAAGTGACAAGGTGAGTGGTGTAAACGCAACGTTATAACCTTAATTAATATAGACATCAAACGGGTTACACTTGATTTGTACCAACCAATCAGGCCGTCAGTTCGTGTGTCACAGATTTATATTCGCATCAGTGACTGTGAACAGGAATCATTCTAATTGGTAAAACTTTTGTTACATAACCAAAGGGTTTGTTGACAGATTCAGGTGTTTGGCTTATCTGAGATGTATGAGAGTCATATTATGTATGTAGGTATCGTGATTTATTGGTGTGAGAAGCAAGTGTATGAAGAAACACTTACCTGATTTAATATCATGTACCACAGTAAAAAACTGTAGTCAATATGCCTATATTAATTTTTATTTAATCCTGTATTCATGAAATCCACACATATAATAAGTCATGTGCATAACCAATGACAATGGATGAGATTTACATGACAAAATTATGTTTTTCTTTGAAAGGTAAATCTCTTTTACTAGTAATTAATAGTTTTCCTGTTACCGATATTGTACATAGCAAGGATTCATGTTTTTTTAAACTTCTGTTCTGGACAGGAAGTGTAGTGTATAGCCATAGACGACACTACTGATTCAGTTACTAAGTCTCATATTAATAGATCCCTCAACTCTTAATACGGGTCTAACATTTCCCATGCAGATAGCAAGTCTATGGGTGCGGCCAGAGTGCACTCAGATTCAGAGTCAGATTCAGATTCTGAAAACAAGCGCGAGAAATAAACAGTGTAGTCTAAGCAGGTTGCCTGCTTTTTCTCGCGCTTTGTTTTCTGAGTCTGAATCTGAATCTGAATCAGGAGTGCAATCTGGCCTTACCCTTCGACTACACTGTTTATTTCTCGCGCTTGTTTTCGAAATCTGAATCTGAATCTGAGTGCACTCTGGCTGCACCCTATCAGTGTACAGGTAGTTAGGTAAAAAAAATCTTTAGATCTATAAAAATGACGCAAAAGAAGCATGAAATTAAAAGATTATTGAATTGTTATTTATAAGAGGAAAGTGAGAAACATTTTATACCTAAAGAAAATTTTTACTAGCAAAAAATCCCATGCTGACCAGGCAGCAGCTGGACAGAGCAGAGTTATTTTCTTTAGATTTAAACATCTGGTAGTTAAATGCTTTAAAATAAAAATATTTAATACCATATTTATGTCAACCAAAGTACAAGGATGTTTTTAAATGCATTCAAATCACTTTATCATTATTTCCAGGGGGCTTTGGAAGAAGTATGGTGACAAAAGAGTCATTGACACACCTATCACTGAGATGGGTTTTGCGGGTATAGCTGTCGGTGCTGCGTTTGCCGGTCTCCGACCCATATGCGAGTTCATGACCTTCAACTTCTCCATGCAAGCTATTGACCATGTCAGTAAAAAACATCTATTTATTCAATATCATTAATTCAATATGCATTGGGAGAGAAGAAGAATCTAGTTAAATGAGTAATATCTTTTTCATATGACACCACACTGGATGTGAAGTGTGATAGTGAAATGTCATTCCTAAACTGTACTCTGCCCTCCATCTGAAAAAATTTATGAATTAAAATATATTTTTGCAATGCTTTAATGCCTCCATTGTACATTTGTGCGTGAAGAATAAAATAAAGAAATAAATATATTTGGGATGAACAGTAAAATAGTGATAATACCGTTGTTCCCTTACACAATTGTTTATAAGTATTGCAAAAAAGAGGAGCTTGATGGTGCAAGCGGTAAGCGTGTTCGGCTGCAATCGTTGAAGTTAAGCAACTTTCACAGTAGTCGGTTATTGGATGGGTGACCAAAAATTTTCTATCTCGAGTTCCTCCGTGCTTCGGAAGGCATGTTGAACTGTTGATCCTGGCTGCCTCTGCAGTCGTTAGCACCCGCCAATCCGCACTTGGTCCGCATGGTGGATCTTGGCCCAATCTCCCTATTCCATCCATAAGGAAGTCTTGTGCCCCAGCAGTGGGGACATTAATAGGCTGATGATGATGACTGCAAAAACATCTATTCCTTTTTTTTACGTTTTGAATTCTAGAATTGTGCTTTGACTTATCAATGTAACATAGATTTTCATGACTGTGTTAGTAATGTTATACCTAATTTTAGAAAGTGATTAGTTCCCAAAACATTATATAAGATAACACTAATTGATTTTTTGATATGTTAGAAGGAAGTGATTTAATAGTGTCTGTAATTTGTAATGTCAAAAAATATAAAGCTCATTAAATGATTATTAAACTGCAGCCTTATATAATATCCTCCTACACAATAATCTAGAAATTTATTGTTCTCATCTTAACAGCAAAGAAAGGATTAAATTAAATGTACCTACAATTTTTTTATCTGTATGTCAATGTTATCAAAGAAACATACATTCTTATCTTGGGACATGGTTTTATAATTGTATTGTAAAGTGGATATTTCGTTTTGATTTTATTGTTCTGAGTAACAATCTAATTTATTTTAAGCCTAGAAACATTGCCCAATATATGACTATAAAGTTACACACAAAAATGAAAATGCTCACAATACTTTAGAGATTTGTTGTCATTTGATTTCTTTTATAGAGGAAATTGTATTGATTTTACTATTTATAAATTAACGCTAATTATTTGTTAAATTACTATTGATTTGATATCTGAATGATATCTCTTGACACAACTAAAATAAATGGAATTGTTGAAGATGTATATTTTGAGCAATATCATCACTTAATTTCTCTTAGTCTCTGCCCAGCTCCACGCAGCTTCGCTTCTGTGGAAACAGGCTTAACGGCGGCTGTGAAAATTTTCGGTTTCGACACAAAAAGAGTGGTCTGGCAGAGTTGAGATCAGTATATCTATGTGAGGTCGAATAGGATCGTGCGGGATGGAGCAGAACTTTATTTTTTAGCAACAACACTGTGCCTTCAGGGTCTGATAGACACCGTTTAACTGCCTGCAAATTAAAGCTAAGCACAGCTCATCTCCAATTAGCTCTGTACCACTCATCTTCACGCAGCTTCAATGGAAACACTTCTATCATTACACGGCTCCGCGCAGCTAAAATTTGCGAAATCCTGATGCTTCTGTGTAAATAGAAGCCATGGTTTGAATGCAGGTTGTAATTGTCACTTTACCTTCTAGTCTAGATAATAAATTCAGCGGCCAAAACATTCTAAAGCTCAGCGGGCGCGGCGCCCGTGCAGATAATGTTCCGTTCAGAACATTCCCAGTGCTTCGGCACTTGGTTCGTGCACTTCGTATACTACGCCATAATTTGCGCTAACTTTACTGCCGCCGCAAATTCCGAATCGCGCTATAACTAGCCGTCTACCGTATAGATCAGCTATACTCTAAGTGTGTTCCGCGGAACCCTAGGGTTCCGTGATACCTCTGTCGGGGTTCCGCAAGAATTTAGAAATAAAAAAATCAAAACACCTCTCTCTGGTCGCTCCGCGGCTGTGCGGACTCCGCGGCCGCGCGGAGACAAAACGCTATGAATGTTATTTATTTATTTATTTGTATTTGTATAAGCTTGTGTTACATTAGCTGGTACAATATCTCATAAGTTTGGTCTCAACAATTTTATACTTGTACAACGCGTTCGCTCTAAGTTTGCCGGTCTGTGGAATGCGCGTACCCTCCCCCACGTGACAACAAAACTTATAATGTGTCATAGTTTTACCCAAATATCTAACGTACACAATTTTTATTGTTACAATTAAATAAAAAATTTCGAACGTCATACACTCATACCTATCGCCAGCGGCAAACTTAAAACGAGCGGGTAGTATACTTGTAAGCGCTCAGTCTCTTTGATAAAAGCCGCCTCTGAATTAGACGCTATAGTTGTCAACTAGCGACTTTCGTCTCTAACTTCAAAGGATAAAGTCGATATTGTTTACAACGCTATTTTTAAATTTCTGTTTTTATTTTTGCTTTTTGTTTATCAAAGGTGCCGACTCGAGTATTTTCGAGAATATTTGAGATCGAGTCTAGGACTAAGTATAAAAGCGGCGATCGCGCGTTGGCGTCGTCAGTTGATGATTAGCGTTCGGAGCGATAAGTTACTACCTACTTACAAGCTCGCTAGCGAGAAACTGGTGTTCATTGTTTTACTGCCTGCTGTATTCTGTTGTCTCAGTTTTATACATTTCTTCCCTGTAGGTTCTAAATTTAGTCTCTTATACGCAGTAACGATTGTGCATTATTTAAACCCCACTATCCTGACTTGTAACATTATAAATAAAGAAGAATGGAACGTTGGCTTAAAGGTGTTAAACGTGTTCCAACAACATCTTCTAATGACGCTGAATGTTCAAAAGCAATGCGCGCGGAGAATTTAGCAATCACCGATCCAGAAGATGATGCCACGAGTGCCACGACGTCAAGCTCGACGGTTTCAAAGACGAAAAAAAGGAAGTATGATGAATCTTATATCAGTTTCGGATTTGTTGATTCCAACGGCTCACCTCTCTGCATGCTCTGTAGTAAACTGCTTCCTAATAGTTCCATGGCACCTGCCAAATTGCGTCGACATTTAGAAACCGTACACCCCGAGACTAAAGACAAGAATAAAGAATTTTTTGTTCGCAAAAAAGATCAGTTATTAGAAAGTCAAAAAAATATGATGCATGTAACACAAACTACCAACGAAAAGGCCACGGAGGCATCATACTTAGTTAGCTATCGCATTGCACAAGCAGGTGAAGCGCACACTATCGCTGAGAAATTAATAAAACCATGTGTATTAGACATAACAAAATGTATGCTTGATGAAAAATCTGCAAAGCATCTTTCTACTGTTCCGCTATCAAACGATACTGTTTCACGACGAATCCATGATCTGGCAAGCTACGTCAAACAAGAACTAGTTACACGTCTACAAAATACACGATTCGCTTTGCAAATGGACGAGTCGACTGATGTCGCTGGTTTGGCTATCCTGCTGGTTATTGTGAGATATCCATATAAAAGTTCTTTTGAAGAAGACATGCTTATGTGTTCATCGCTGCTTACAAACACTACCGGGGAAGAAATTTTTAATAAAATAAATATATTTTTTGAAGAACATAATCTCAGTTGGAACAATTGCATTGACATTTGTACAGATGGGGCCAAGGCGATGACAGGTAAAACAGCAGGAGCAGTGTCACGAATGAAAAATAAAGCGCCTAATTGTAGTTCCAGTCATTGTATTCTGCATAGACAAGCACTTGCGATGAAGCAAATGCCGTCTAATCTAAAATTAGTTATGGATGAAGCGGTAAAAATAATTAATTTTATCAAATCACGACCACTACAATCCCGATTGTTCTCATTATTGTGTGAAGATTATGGCAGCAAACATAAAACACTGCTGCTCCATACAGAAGTGCGATGGCTGTCTCGGGGAAAAACTTTAACAAGGCTATTTGAACTTAGAGCCGAGTTACAAATGTTTCTTTCAGCAGATACTTCTTTTAATTTGAAGGACCGTTTGTATGATAAAACTTGGTTGTTCCGATTGTCTTTTATGGCGGATATCTTTCAAAAACTTAACGAATTAAATTTATCATTGCAAGGTAAACAGACAACAGTGTTTCAGGCCTATAATAAAATAACTACTTTAAAAGAAAATTAGATTTTTGGATCATTTGCATTGGTAAGAAAGAAATAGAAAGTTTTACGTTACTCACTGAGTTTGTTAGCGAAAACGACTCAGAAATGTTTGAAGATAATGTGTTTGAAGAATTGGTCCAATATCTCAGTTCGATGCGCGCATCTTTTGAAAAGCATTTTCCCGAAGAACACAATACAAAAATTAAAGTGAACTCCTGGATTCATAATCCTTTTTTACCCAACTTGGAAAAGCCTGAAAACATGTCAAATGAGATATATGAATCTCTTTTAGAAATGTCATCAGACACAAGTATGGAGTCATTGTTCAAAACGACGCCTCTTAATGATTTTTGGTGCAGAATCCAAGATGAATATGCAATGCTTGGCCAAATGGCTCTGGATATTCTTCTCCCGTTCCCAACTACATATTTGTGCGAAACAGGATTCTCTACCTACGCAGCCACGAAAACAAAATATCGCAATAGACTGGACGCCGAAGCTGATATGAGACTCCAACTTTCTTCCATCAAACCTGATATCAAGCAATTGATGAAAAATAAAAAACAGTTTCATACCTCCCACTAGTTAGATTTTTTCTTTTTTAATGTTTTCTATTATTGTCCTTACCAAGTGGTGAAGTAAATAATAATTAGTAACGGATACATTGTACTTTTATTATGCTGATTAATATAGAATACACTTATAAAAATAATTGTTTTATTGTAGGGTTCCATCAAGTATTTTGCTTCCCAAAAGGGTTCCGTCATTTAAAAAGTTTGAGAACCACTGGTATAGATAATAAAATCAGCGGACAAATAGTTCTACATGCCAGCGGGTGCGGTGCCTCTGCCGAAAATTGCCAGTGCGTCGGCGCTTAGTTCGCGCACTTCGTTTGTTTACTATACCATGATTTACGGTAACTTCACAGCCTCTACTAAGTCTGAATCGCGCTATTAAAATTCCTCTACCTTCTATTATATTTAGTGCCGATAGTGTTCCGATTACAACATTCCCAGTGTTTCGGCGCTTAGTTCACGCAATTCGTTAACTACGTCGAGATTTGGGCTAACTTCACAGCGGACGCGAAGTCTGAAATATCCTTTTATCTTCTAGATAATACACTCAGCGACTTAAACATTCTGCATGTCAGAAGGCGCAGTGTGTACCGATAGTGTTCCTTTCAGTACCCTTAGCACGAACCATTATCGAATTCGAATAGTTTGCGAGTCCGAAATGTCATTGTCAAATGTGTACTGATTTTAAGTTCTCGTTAAGTCCATTGTGGCGGTGCTGTTCAAGTTTCCAAACAAAATTTGACAATGACATGTCGCACTCGCAAACTATTCGAATTCGATAATGGTTCCTGCTAAGGGTATAGAACATTACCAGTGCGTCAGCATTTCGTTCGCGCACTTCGTTTACACTTACTTCACAGCCGCTGCTATGTCTGAATCGCGGTGTAATTATCCCTTTGCCTTCTAGATAATAAACTCAGCGGCCAAAACGTTCTACATGTCAGCTGGTGCGGTGCCCGTGCCGATAGTGTTCAGAGGGCCCAACGGCGCGGCATCGGGTGTCGCCGCTCAACATTCCCAATGCTTCGGTGCTTGGTTCGCGCACTGCCCCGGCCTTAAAGTTGTCATGCCCTACTCTTCAGAAGACGCTAAAGGTGAGAGAATCTTGTTACCAGTTACGAGCACAGTGCCTGAAATGCAAGATGCCACTGCTGCAATAATGCCTAACACGTCATTTTGACGAAAAAGCAGACTGTCTAGGATGAAAGAAGCCACTACCCATTATTAACTAAAAAGCTAATTGAATAAGAAGCAGATTCCTACAATCTCTCGTGACTGTAATGTTTGGTGGCAACCATCAATTTGAAATATTAAAATATCAATAAATAATAAAAAAAATGTATTCTCAAAAGTAAAAACAAATCTATCCGTTAAAATTAAAAAATACCCCTATAAATACATTTTTTAACTAAAATCTGAGCAACTACACAAAATCAACTATCTTATAATAAAATTTTCAAGTGCTAGTATCGAATTACAGCAACCCTTTACAATAAGAGATTTAAAACAAACTTGCGCATTAGGCATTAAAAACATAGTGCAGTTTAGGTATTTCATGTAATGACATTTAGGCAATTACAATGTCTAGCTAGGCATCTATGGGTAGGCAATCTGCTTCTTAGTCTATTGACGTGTTAGGCATTTTTGCAGCAGCGGCGTGGCATCTTACATTTTGGGCACTGTGTTCATAACCAATTTGCCCATGATTGGCTCATGATTTGCTCATGACTGAAGATTGTAACTATTACACCATTGTGATGTGATGCACCTAGTTATTGGCGTAGACTATGTTATAGGCGTAGTAAAAAAAAACGAGTGTGCTTATAACAAACTGAAGTGAAACTTCTTTAGCTCCATCCATATTTCATTTACTAGCTATACGAGTAAGCTATCCTATCTTTCAAGTTGGATCTTTATTTGATTAAAATCGGTTAAGTAATTTAGGAGCCAGAACAAACAATGTGACGCGTAATTTATATATATGTTGGAGATTCAAACGGATTCGACTTAATAATTTCTTCATCGCGGTCCGCCATGCTGTTTGCTTATCGATCAGTGCGCACATCCGGCGCGGGCGCTGTCTCAAGAGCAAGAGAGTTCCTCGATCAAACGCACTACTGACAGATACGAAGTTGACACTGACATTGACATTGACAACGTCACTCACATCATTCAGTTATGTCACAGACAAAAGTGTTGCCAACAGAATAAATTAATAACACCATAATCTCCGACATATATATTATTAAGATATTAGATTATTCTCTGATCACAATGTAAAATTTATCACTTCTAAACTGTACTGTGCTGATTTCATTTAATAATATTGCTTAATTTCTTTTTACAGGTCTTCTAAAGGCAGCGATCAGAGACCCAGATCCCGTTGTGTGCTTGGAAAACGAAATGTTATACGGTGTACCATTCCCCATGTCAGATGAGGCGCAGTCCAATGAATTTGTACTGCCATTCGGTAAGTAATTCGAAAACGTAAGGCCAACTTGCACCAAAGTTCCTAAATCAATTTTGAAAGTTTAGGTAATACTTTAGAAATTTTTTACTTTACTCTAAACCTAAACTTAAATTTGGCAACAGTGTATGCTTGTTGTACTCTATACAGAATGAAAAAGAGACACTGATGTAAAATTTAGTTTTAAGTGTAGAGCATCACGCCAGAATCGACACCATTGTTATTTTATATTAATAAGATGGACTTGTAAATGTATTCAATGTGTATTTGAAATAAAGCACACTCTTAATGATGTTTGTTATAAATATGCAAAATTCAGTAATTTTTATTTAATCATTTTAACCAGTGATATATCAATTTTTGTAAAATTATTTCATGCACAATTGTATTTGAAAATGACTCTTATTACCTTGCATTATGTGTCATATTCCTTTGCTTAGAGTGATCAAATTGAAATGAATCATTTAACATATTTCGATTTCTTTTTAGATACTTTTTTATTGATATCGATTCAGAAGCCAATTACAACTAAACCACTTTCAGGATGTGCTTTTTTTTCTATATATACATATTAGATACACGTTGTATATACACCAAAACATATACAGTCAAAACCGAATATAACGACATCGTTTAAAACGACGTGTCGGTTATTACGACCAATTGGTAAGGTCCCGACTAAAAAACCGCCTATAACAACACCGGATATAGCGAAATACCGCTAAAAACGACTTATAGCCAATGAATATTGATAAAGTTCATATCGATATTGATCGGCTATAACGACCAACCGTTTTACTTGGTCCAGCAAAACAAAATATAATGTAAGTACAGTCAAAAACAAATATACCGACGTGTCGGTTATTACGACCATTAGGCAAGGTCCCGACCGAAACCCTATATAAACCCCTACGTAAACAAACCGCCTATAACAACACAGGATATATCGAAATATCGCTTAAAACGACTTATATCCAATGAATATTGATAAAGTTCATATCGATATTGATCGGCTATAACGACCAAACGTTTTACTTTTTCCAGCAAAACAAAATATACGGTAGGTACTTAAATTTTTGCGTAGTAAACTTATTATTCCTTCTTTCGGTATTTTTTTGAAGGAAGGTTTTGACGTGACAACGTCTTAAATTAGGTTGCGGCTGGGAGTCACTTATGAAAAAGTGTAACGCTCGGTAACGTTACGATGAGTCTCTCGTGTTAAGTTTAAGTTTACATGTACAATGTTTTAGTAAACAAAATATATTTCTATAGTTAAAATTTGTGCAATTCTTATTTTCATTCAATTCCTTGTTCCTATTGTGCAATTTAATTATATTCATATCAATAAATATTCTACCGAGAAAAAGACGTTGTCACGTAAAATCTTCGCCCGTAAAACCGACTTTACAGGCAACCATTTTTTAGTCATTATCTATAACCATACTACAATATGACAATAATATGACTACTTATGTATATTGCTTATAACAACTACCGGACATAACGTCCGAAATTATATGGCCCCTTCAATGTCGTTATAGCCGGTTTCGACTTTTACTATACTTCTATTTTTTATTGTAAACATTACTTCTTTTTTCGCTTATATTTATTATCTTTACCCGTAACTACAAACATACATTAACATGACTACTTGTGTATATTGCTTTAAGAACTTTACGAACTTGACGACCTCCGTGCCCGAGTGGTTTGTACGCCGGGTTTCGTGGTGTCACCGACCCGAGAGGTCCCGGGTTCGAATCCCGGTGGGGGCAGATGTTTGTGTGATGATGAAAACGAGCATTTATACTCCAGTCATGGATGTTTAATATGTATGTCTACATAAATATACTTATATCTGTTACAGTATGTATTCTATCCGTTACCCTAGTATTCCATAACACAAGCTTGCAGTGCTTACTTTGGGGCTAGCCTAACTGGTGTGTGTTGGAATTTAAAAATAATAAAATATAAACTGTCGAACATAACGTTTATATGGTCCGCTCAATGTCGTTATATCCGGTTTCGACTGTATAATTCGATTCAACTAAGAATAGGATCGACTGGGCGCCATATTGTGATGTCATAGCTGTCAATTCAAACTAAATAGGTAGAGTGAGCAAAAAGAGTTTTTATTTAATAAAACTTATTTACTAAGATTTAGTGAGAAAAAGTATCAGATTTTTTTAATAACATTTATTTACTAACATTGAGAAAAATAAACACCGATTTTTAATAATATTTATTTATTAAGACTGAGAAAAAACATTAATCAGAATCTAGCTCTTCTATTCCGCTCATCTCTGCATTACCGCCGGAGTAGTTATGAATTATCGTGCACTATTACTTGGTCACATACGAACTTGCATCCTTTATGTAAACGAAAGTTTGAAATCGAGTTTCTGAACGCAACTTAAAGTGACATTTGGTTGACGATTTAGGTTATCAACCATACATGGCCAAAGTTCATTAAATGAAAAAAAAAATATCAACCAATATTAATTATCAATATTTGTTATTGTTTGTTTACAAATGTTTGGTTTTTATTCTTGAATTAGCCGAGTGCTAAAAAAGGGTTCCAAGTTTTTTTTTTGCAAACCGTACTTTTCAAGCGACATTTGACAGATAGAGGTCATTGGCTTTCCTTTTCTTATTTGAATTGCATTATATGCGTTAGTCGTTGTATTATTGTGTTTTAGGCAAAGCTAAGGTGGAGCGGGAAGGAAAACACATCACGGTTGTATGCGCCGGCCGAGCCACAGACACCGCCCTTATAGCTGCCAATGAATTAGCTGGGAAAGGTACGTTTCACAATGAAACACTAATAAATCACACTAATCTATATATATAAAACTCAAAGGTGACTGACTGACATAGTGATCTATCAAAGCACAGCCCAAACCACTGGACGGTTCGGGCTGAAATTTGGAATGCAGGTAGATGTTATGACGTAGGCATCCGCTAAGAAAGGATTTTGATCAATTCCACTCCCAAGGGGATAAATAGGGAATGAACTATATATATAAAACTCAAAGGTGACCGACTGACATAGTGATCTATCAACGCACAGCCCAAACCACTGGACGGATCGGGCTGAAATTTGGCATGCAGGTTGATGTTATGACGTAGGCATCCGCTAAGAAAGGATTTTGATCAATTCCACCCCCAAGGCAATAAAATAGGAAATGAAACTTTGTCAATTTTAAACCGATCGAGCTGAGACTTTGCATGCAGGTATAAGAAGAATCATACATAAATGACATTGTGTATAATACAAGACTGAGACCAATACATGTAGTCTACAATTTAATTTTGAGAACAAACTTTAGTTTGAATGCTGTATGCTCTTAAAAGTACATTTTTTAAAGGCAAATATTAGTTTATCCTTCGCAACAAACCAAATCGACCATCTTGGACTATCTGCCATATTTGATTTAGAATGACCTCAATGACCTAACTTAGCAAACCATGCATTGTCATCCCAAGTAAACGTGTAGGTACCTATTTAAAATATTATCTCGATCGGTTGAGAATAACTGCTTTGTAATTCAGTTTGCGAGACTTGATTCCAACATTCATAAATATATTTCAAGTCAAATAAAATCTTTTAAAATACTACTGTATGTTGTGAAATTGTTGTGAATTTTATCATTTTCCTAAAAACACAATAGATACGATATTCAACCTAAATTCTACGTAAATAGGGTATATTCCCTCTCACAATTAAAATCTTTGCTCAAGCTGTTGCAGGTTACTAATTTTTGTTTACTTTTCCTTTGCTTCTAATATCATATTATGTCGCACAGGTATCGAATGCGAAGTGATAAATCTACGTTCGTTACGGCCGCTGGATTTCGATACGATCGCTCGCTCCGTCGCCAAGACTCACCACATAGTCACAGTGGAACAGGGATGGCCCAGCTGCGGTAAGCTCTCGTCTACAACGATATTAAATACCCTATAACAACACGAACAAAATCGTGGCCGAAATCTGTCCGAAGGGTACTTTGAACGATCCACGAAGCTCCATAAGATGATCGCGTTGTCAAAAACAATATAAGGCAATATTTAAACATTGAAAGTTACCATTAATGTATACTGTATAAGGTCATAATTAAAACGCATGCGCCGAAGAGTTATGACAGTTGGAATTACAAGCTCGTAAAATTTTACGACTTATTGCTATATGGGGAAGAATATAACCCTTATTTCTTTGACTCTACGCGCAATTCTGAATGCGCTGTTAGCAATATAGCAGGTACGGACCGCGAGGAAAAGAGATAGCTATATAACCGACCATGCTTTTGAATATCACAAATTTATTCTATGAAATCAATTTATGGTAAGTATAAGAACAAAATTTCCTTCAAATGCATTAAATTATCAAACTGATTAGATATCTGTTGAAAAAACGACACTACGTACTATAAGTATTTTTGTCCTGGTGACTGTGAACCAAGAAGTGCTTGAGTGGAGTTCAAGCACTTCTTGATAGGGACACATTTTGAGTGCACGTGGTGTATCTAGGGTATGTAATATCGTTGCTCGTCTATTATTATTATTTTACACTGAAAACACTAGCCGTTATGATGATTATGTGTCACGTTATTTTTTCATAGATGGTTCTAAAGAATAATATAGGGTGTTTCGATAAAAAATCGGGTACGTTTGAATTCTATTAAAAAAAAATGTTTAAAATTACATTAAATTTGTCTCATTTTTAGAAGACTACTCTTTGGCATTTTGTGTGAAATACCACATCATTTAAATTATCACCTCGGCTTGGTATGGAAGCTTCAGTACAAGAAGCCAAATTTTTATAACTTTTTGACATAACGGCACTCACAGTAATATTAAGTTGCCTGAGAGATAATTTATTTATAACAAACAGTCTTATACAATTTAGGTTTACAAATAGACCTAAAGTACCATTAATTGATATATAATTATTATATTCAAGCGGCATAAAAGTTATGGATAACTATAAACATATATTATGATATACATCGCCGCCGCACATGTTATACTATTTAAACAATAATTCACTCACTTTCCTTTTAAAGCTGTAAAGTGATTCCCTGAAAATATCTGCTTCATTCAATAATGAGAGATAAATCATGCTACGACACTTTCCCACTCTAGGCATTGGCGCCGAGATCTGCGCGCGGCTAATGGAGTCGTCGACATTCTTCGAACTGGACGCGCCCGTGTGGCGAGTGACCGGAGCCGACGTACCGATGCCGTACGCCACCACGCTGGAGGCGCTCGCCCTGCCGCGCCCGCCCGACGTGCTCGCTGCCGTCACCGGCGTGCTGGGAGCCCGGTGAGTGTCGTGCCGTGTGCCGTGTGCCGTGTGCCGTGCCGTACGCCACCACGCTGGAGGCGCTCGCCCTGCCGCGCCCGCCCGACGTGCTCGCTGCCGTCACCGGCGTGCTGGGAGCCCGGTGAGTGTCGTGCCGTGTGCCGTGTGCCGTGCCGTACGCCACCACGCTGGAGGCGCTCGCCCTGCCGCGCCCGCCCGACGTGCTCGCTGCCGTCACCGGCGTGCTGGGAGCCCGGTGAGTGTCGTGCCGTGTGCCGTGTGCCGTGCCGTACGCCACCACGCTGGAGGCGCTCGCCCTGCCGCGCCCGCCCGACGTGCTCGCTGCCGTCACCGGCGTGCTGGGAGCCCGGTGAGTGTCGTGCCGTGTGCCGTGTGCCGTGTCGTACGCCACCACGCTGGAGGCGCTCGCCCTGCCGCGCCCGCCCGACGTGCTCGCTGCCGTCACCGGCGTGCTGGGAGCCCGGTGAGTGTCGTGCCGTGTGCCGTGTGCCGTGCCGTACGCCACCACGCTGGAGGCGCTCGCCCTGCCGCGCCCGCCCGACGTGCTCGCTGCCGTCACCGGCGTGCTGGGAGCCCGGTGAGTGTCGTGCCGTGTGCCGTGTGCCGTGTCGTACGCCACCACGCTGGAGGCGCTCGCCCTGCCGCGCCCGCCCGACGTGCTCGCTGCCGTCACCGGCGTGCTGGGAGCCCGGTGAGTGTCGTGCCGTGTGCCGTGTGCCGTGTGCCGTGTGCCGTGCCGTACGCCACCACGCTGGAGGCGCTCGCCCTGCCGCGCCCGCCCGACGTGCTCGCTGCCGTCACCGGCGTGCTGGGAGCCCGGTGAGTGTCGTGCCGTGTGCCGTGTGCCGTGCCGTACGCCACCACGCTGGAGGCGCTCGCCCTGCCGCGCCCGCCCGACGTGCTCGCTGCCGTCACCGGCGTGCTGGGAGCCCGGTGAGTGTCGTGCCGTGTGCCGTGTGCCGTGTGCCGTGCCGTACGCCACCACGCTGGAGGCGCTCGCCCTGCCGCGCCCGCCCGACGTGCTCGCTGCCGTCACCGGCGTGCTGGGAGCCCGGTGAGTGTCGTGCCGTGTGTCGTGTGCCGTGTGCCGTGCCGTACGCCACCACGCTGGAGGCGCTCGCCCTGCCGCGCCCGCCCGACGTGCTCGCTGCCGTCACCGGCGTGCTGGGAGCCCGGTGAGTGTCGTGCCGTGTGCCGTGTGCCGTGTGCCGTGCCGTACGCCACCACGCTGGAGGCGCTCGCCCTGCCGCGCCCGCCCGACGTGCTCGCTGCCGTCACCGGCTTGCTGGGAGCCCGGTGAGTGTCGTGCCGTGTGTCGTGTGCCGTGTGCCGTGCCGTACGCCACCACGCTGGAGGCGCTCGCCCTGCCGCGCCCGCCCGACGTGCTCGCTGCCGTCACCGGCGTGCTGGGAGCCCGGTGAGTGTCGTGCCGTGTGCCGTGTGCCGTGTGCCGTGCCGTACGCCACCACGCTGGAGGCGCTCGCCCTGCCGCGCCCGCCCGACGTGCTCGCTGCCGTCACCGGCGTGCTGGGAGCCCGGTGAGTGTCGTGCCGTGTGTCGTGTGCCGTGTGCCGTGCCGTACGCCACCACGCTGGAGGTTCTGTGCGCAATAAAGATGCTTTGAACATTGTCACTCTAGGACTGCATCATGAATTATGAATCGCAGTAAGGGGGCTACCGGTTGCATTACTTTGAATATTTTTTGTGTGATGCCGGCACTCCACTATTCTATTCGTGTTTGCTGTTTGTAAAATTAGCATCAAGTTGTCCTTTTCTTTCCATATATAGTATGATAAAGACAAATACAAATAGCAAATACGAATAGCCACGTGAAGTGCCGGCATGAAATCTAGTCTGTATTTAATCGATTCTCTCTTCAAAATATAGTAAAGAGTGAAATAATTATTCCTATGCTCTTGTTTCAGGATCGACCAAGCATCAGCGCAGTAAATGAGGCGAATCTCGAGTTGAATGAATCAAATCTGTTCGCGCACAGACTCAGTGTATTTGTATTGTAAATAATTCCGTTGTTGTGCTCACACTGAAGCGCGCACGCGCAAGCTGTTACCTCCATGCGATGTTATCTATGACATTTCGAAGCAATCTTCTACGCAATCATGTCCAATTGTTTAGAAAAATACTATTTATTATTACATTATAACAAGTTTATTAGATTACGTAGTAATTATTTCATCAAATTTTCTTTTAAGTCTTAAGAATTTTTTGACATTGTGGGTTACAGCAGCCTAATAAATGCTAGAGTTAATCCGATACGGCCATCAGGGCCGCGGTAGCATAATGGTCAGTGCATTCGCCCGGATAGCTAAGGGTGCGGGTTCGAGTCCTGTCTGCCGCCTGGTCCGCGTATTTTTTTTCTAGTAAATATTTTTTCCTAGATTTAAACATCAAACAGTTAACTACTTAAGAGCCCTTTTACAAAATTGCGCCGCTGCCGTACTGATCGGCGCGTAGGTATATTTGCACTAGTATAAGTTTCGAGTCTTATAAAATAATTATTAATGAACTAATTATAAAAACATATACATATTTCAGTAGTTCAATGATGGTAGATTAGTTTTATGGAAGTTTTTGATAGTAATTCTTTTTAATTCAATATCGAAATACGAGGTAAACCTGCATTTATTTTTTGGGGGAACTCACGGTGGTTAGATGTTTTTTTGATAAATAATGAGATGGAAAATCAAAATTCTAATACATTATGTTACAACAAGAACATATTTCTGATGTCGTAGTAATTAATTTGATCTAATTTATTGAACGTTATTTAGAGATTGAGGCGTTTGAAGTTGTGCATATTATCGTTTTTTCCTAAACTAGCTGCAGTAGAACGATCAGTACAAAAAAAGGAAAATAGTATTTGCAAATATTCTACATTAACTTACAATAGTAAGAATAAATCTACTGTTTACTTCTATTAGAAATAGTCAAAATCTTTTCTAACGGGGTAAACAAGGCGCCCAAAAATTACGATTTTTTGCAAAAAATCTGAAAGGGCTCTTAAATGCTTGAATTGTAAATATAATTTTTCTTTTATCAAGGGAAGCAATTGATAACGTAAAAACCTCTTTGTGTGGTAAAAACCAATAGTAAATGCTATGTGTAGCGCTTTCTTTCTTTATACTGGGTCTACCTTCACTTAATATAATTATGCATATCAGGGGAAGGCATCAACTTCAATTCACAGATCATTATTTGACATTAACTTATTTATCAGACAATCAAAACTCCTAATTTTGTAAGCCAAAATCATTTTAGACATAAATTTATCTAATATATAAAATTCTCGTCTCAGGGTGCGCGTAATTGAACTAGGTACTCCTAAACGACTCGACGGATTTTCGTAAAATTTTATATGCATATTCAGTAGGTCTGAGAATCGGACAACATGTATTTTTCATCCCCCTAAATGTTAATTAACCCTTAATTTTTTTTGTTTTTATTTTTATGTAAATATGTATTTTTACTAAATTTCTTTGTTTTTATTTATTTTTAAGCATTTAACTGCTAGATGTTTAAATCTCAAGAAAAGTTTACTAGAAAAAAAAAATGTTTAATACTTGAAAAAGTATTCATTTGACATTGTGGGTTACCTACAATGCGAAGAGATGGCGCTGCCTTGCAGCTTAAGGCTAGGAAAATTTCGACGCGGCGAATAGGGCCGTAGTAGCAAAATGGTCAGTGCATTCGCCTGGATTGCGAAGGGTGCGGGTTCGAGTCCCGTCCGCTGCCTGGTCCGCGTAAATTTCTTTATTTACCCGTTTTACTAAATTTTCACCATTCTACCGTCAACCCTATTTTTTATGGTGGCACGGAGTTCGCTTGGACAGCTAGTTATCTATACTAAATAATTAAAAAGCAGAACCATCATAACGCAGAAATTTCACAGTCAGAAACGTCTTCTGTAATTTTTTAAGTTTGATAAAATCAAAGTACCACTTTTAAATATACCATTTAGTTAAAAACAAACAACATGTTATCACATAAAATAAAAGTCCCAATCGACATCCAAACTTATGGCATATTTTCTCATATTTTATGGAAAGATGGCATAAGCGCTTGCTGCAATAAAGAAATCTTATGTCAACGTATATTATTAGTACGTTGTGTTTTCCATAAGATGGCGCTTGTCTTGCAATTTTTAAGCGCTTAGAGTTCATAGATGGCGTTACTTGTAGAAACGTGTCCATTATTTTCCTTTAGTTGATTTTTTCAATTTGAAGTTTCTTTATATTGCTACTATCATTAGCATAATAATGCTTCCGAAGATCATTTATTGAGTCTCTGGTTGTCGTCTTATATCCAACCAAATTTCTCTACCCCAAATTTGATTAGAGGCCCCTTACGAAATTAGCTGATGCTTAAGAAGCCGCTTCAGCAGATACCCAGTTTGAGGGCTGAGGTCCTTTCTTTGCTAGATCTAACAAACTTGGTCACATAAGTCAATGGGCTGGCTGGCAATGCTTTGGTACCAATACAGTTTCTTCATAGTCTCACAATTTACAGCACCTCTCGTGGAAACTAGAAAGTCCAGCGTTTTGACTTGTCGCTGGTATTCTACCACCACCTCACAATTATTATATTCTTAAACTAGCGGTCCGCCCGCGCGCCCTCGCTTCGCTTCAGTGTAGAGCTGAAGTGTAGACTACAGTTTTCGTTCTCAGGCTTGTATTATACACAATGACATTCATCTATGATTCTTCTTATACTTGCATGCAAAGTCTCAGCCCGATCGGTTTAAAATTTACAAAGTTTCATACAAACTTTCATTCCCTATTTTATCCCCTTGGGGGTAGAATTGATCAAAATCCTTTCTTAGCGGATGCCTACGTCATGACATCTACTTGCATGCCAAATTTCAGCCCGATCCGTCCAGTGGTTTGGGCTGTGCGTTGATAGATCACTATGTCAGTCAGTCACCTTTGAGTTTTATTTAAATAGAAGTACCTTAATTAGGCCAACATCAGCAAGTCGAGACAATAATTTAGTTTAAAATACTGCAGCAATTAAATAGCATCATGTATGGTACATAGCTTTCGGAATCTTCAGTCAGATATTTTAAACTAGGTCTTCCTATTATCGTATGTAGGTATACCATGAGAGCTTTTCGTAACCGTTTCATTAAATACTAACTTCATACCATTGTTTCCTCTCAGGAACCTTTCGTGTGCTTATAATACTATACTATATGTACTATATTTTAATTATCCAGATTATGTTGTTCCTGTTTGTCATAATCCAAACCTCCCCTGTTTTAGTGTGATTGATATCTGCTTAGCTAAATAGTATTAGGAAGTAAATAATCTTTAAAGAATCTATAACATCACGAACATAAATTTTATTTCATATACAAACTAGATACGTATAACAGCATTATTCTCTTATCGAGCGTATTAGTAGGTACGCGACGGTTTTTCGTGGGCCGAACGGAATCTCCCACAAAATGTCTGCTCCCTAGTCCAGCCGATCCATCATCGTGTCCCGGCGCGCGCGGACGGATGTACGCAGCTATTGTACGCGGCGCATGTTTACCTCCTCCGCCGCTCTGACAGCCTGGTACTTTCCGCCGCCATTCACCCGCTTGATTAAGATGTAATGCTTTTATTACACACCCAGTATCTACGTATTTTTCATCAGGTTTGTTAAAAAAAAAGTCAAATCCTAATACTGAAAGGTCACTCAATGTTGGAGAGTGTTTTTTTTTTGTTGTGGCTTTTGGAAAGACACGAACATTTTTGAGGATGATGATCGGTTAATTTTGATTCCAGATTCTTGCTTGAGTGCACTCTATCTACCCTAAAACCAAACTAAACACAAAATAGATGGTAAAATAGATACATAATTAATTGAAATAGATTACAGTTTAATATTGTTTCCTAATGTGTTTACAAATGCTCATAAAACCAGGATTGTTAAAGTCTTAAGGGGGTACAGGATGGAAGATGATTATAAACAGACTGGTATTACTGGCAGTTCAACATAATATGATCAATGGTATCCTCTTCGCGACCACTTTCACATAATATGGAATAATTTAAAATTCGTAATTTGGCAAGGAATGCAGGGGTCACCTACAATGCCAAGACCAAAAAGACGACAAAACACCGTATTCCATGCAAAACGGTTACTCACGATTTAAACACTTTAGGAGACACTGATATCAATGCGCGCTGTGAAAAAAGATCAATCTTTGACTGGTCTGTTAGTGGACCATATAATTTATAATTCGTTTTCGGTCCATATCCAGTAAAAAAAATGCAAGATTCATGAATTTGAATAGTATTTCATAATGCAACTGGCAATTTTAGTGAGTATTCATCTCTTAGTTTACCATTCCCCCGTTTTTATTTAACAATAAAAACGGGGGACCTACCTAACGGTAGGTACTATTCACACTTACACGTGCGCTGAGCCCAAATCTGTCCCGCTGGCCGGCTGCTTGATGGATTGCCGAATTACCAACATTGTGGGGACACAAATTATACTTTTATTTCTACACTCATGGATTGACGTTTTCGGCTAACCGTCTGCGTTGGCGTTAAAAGCTTACGAGGAAAAATTGAGATGTATTTTTTTGCGACAGCCGACCCTGGATATTATTGACGAGAACCTAAGTATACATTGGTGTCGATTCTGGCATGATTCGCTAAACTTAAAACTTAATTTAACACCAGTCTCTCCTCTTCACTCTATATAGAGAATGACAAGGATACACTGTTACCAAATTTAAGTTTAGGTTAAGAGGATCATGCTAGAATTGTCACCATTATTTCATTCAAATCACATCTACTATGACAGTGATACAAGGTACCTATAGTTGGTTAACTAGATAACCATCACACTAATATTATAATGGCGAAAGTTTGCGAGTGTGTATGTTTGTTACTTTATCACGTCTAAACGGCTGGAGCGATTTTAATGAAATTTGGTAT